GCCAACACACCATCATATATGGTAAATGGCCTGTATTTATATAGCGCTTTACTAGTCCCTAAGGACCCCAAAGCACTTTACATATCCAGTCATCACCCATTCAGCACACATTCACACACTGGTGATGGCAGCTACATTGTAGCCACAGCCACCCTGGGGCGCACTGACAGAGGCGAGGCTGCCGGACACTGGCGCCACCGGGCCCTCTGACCACCACCAGTAGGCAACGGGTGAAGTGTCTTGCCCAAGGACACAACGACCGAGACTGTCCAAGCCGGGGCTCGAACCGGCAACCTTCTCGATTACAAGGCGAACTCCCAACTCTTGAGCCACGACCGCTCATTGTCCCTATTTTGTTAAATACTCAACAAAAACCAGCGAGACAAAATGTGCGATCTCTTTTATCGTGTAGGTGCTATTAGCGTCCTCGGAGAGTGATTTAACGCCCTGGCACCTCGCCGCTGCTGTTACCTCTAATGTTTACGTTTATGATAAACATCAATCTAAGACTTGAAGAGAGCTGCGAGGCCCTCAGAGCACCAGTGGGTCTGACGAAGGAGAAGAAATCACTGTAACACACACAGTGTAAAACACACACACACACATTGTAAAACACACACACACACAGTAAAACACACACACACTAAACACAGCTATTAAAACACACACACACACACACACACACACACACACACACACACACACACACACACACACACAGTGTAAAACACACGCACAAACACACACACAGTATAAAACACACACACACAGTATAAAACACACACACACAGTATAAAACACGCACACACAGTATAAAACACACACACACAGTATAAAACACACGCACACAGTATAAAACACACACACACAGTATAAAACACACACACACAGTATAAAACACACACACACACACAAGAAAAACACACACACACACAAAACACACAAAAACACACACACACACAGTATAAAACACACACACACAGTATAAAACACACGCACACAGTGTAAAACACACGCACACAGTGTAAAACACACACACACAGTGTAAAACACACGCACACAGTGTAAAACACACACACACAGTGTAAAACACACACACACACACACAGTGTAAAACACACGCACACACAGTGTAAAACACACACACACAGTATAAAACACACACACACAGTATAAAACACACACACACAGTGTAAAACACGCACACAGTGTAAAACACACACACACAGTATAAAACACACGCACACAGTATAAAACACACACACACAGTGTAAAACACACACACACAGTGTAAAACACACGCACACAGTGTAAAACACACACACACACACACAGGTAAAACACACGCACACAGTTAAAAACACACCACACAGTATAAAACACACACACACACACAGTATAAAACACACACACACAGTATAAAACACACGCACACAGTGTAAAACACACACACACAGTGTAAAACACACCACACAGTGTAAAACACACCACACAGTAAAACACACGCACACAGTGTAAAACACACACACACACACACACAGTGTAAAACACACGCACACACAGTTAAAACACACCACACACAAGTATAAAACACACACACACAGTAAAACACACACACACACAGTGTAAAACACACACACACACTTATAAACACGCACGCAGTAAAAACACACACACACAGTGTAAAACACACGCACACAGTATAAAACACACGCACACAGTGTAAAACACACACACACAGTATAAAACACGCACACAGTAAAACACACACACACAGTGTAAAACACGCACACAGTATAAAACACACGCACACAGTGTAAAACACGCACACACAGTATAAAACACAACGCACACAGTATAAACCACGCACACAGTGTAAAAACACACACACACAGTAAAAACACACACACAGATAAAACACACACACACAGTTAAAACACACACACACAGTATAAAACACACACACACAGTGTAAAACACCACACAGTATACACACACACACAGTATAAAACACACACACACAGTATAAAACACACACACACAGTGTAAAACACGCACACACAGTGTAAAACACACACACACAGTGTAAAACACGCACACAGTATAAAACACACACAGTATAAAACAGACACACAGTGTAAAACACGCACACACAGTATAAACACACACACACAGTATAAAACACGCACACAGTATAAAACACACACACACACAGTGTAAAACACACGCACACAGTATAAAACACACGCACACAGTGTAAAACACGCACACACAGTATAAAACACACACACACAGTGTAAAACACACGCACACAGTAACACACGCACACAGTATAAAACACACACACACAGTGTAAAACACGCACACACAGTATAAAACACACGCACACAGTATAAAACACGCACACACAGTATAAAACACACGCACACAGTATAAAACACACACACAGTATAAAACACACACAGTATAAAACACACACACACAGTGTAAAACACACGCACACAGTATAAAACACACACACACAGTTAAAACACACACACAGTATAAAACACACACACACAGTGTAAAACACGCACACACAGTATAAAACACACACACACAGTGTAAAACACACACACAGTATAAAACACACACAGTGAAAACACACACACACAGTATAAAACACACACACACAGTAAAAACACACACACACAGTGTAAAACACACACACACAGTAAAACACGCACACACAGTATAGAACACACGCACACAGTGTAAAACACGCACACACAGTATAAACACACGCACACAGTGTAAAACACACAGACACAGTATAAAACACACACACACAGTGTAAAACACGCACACACAGTATAAATCACACACACACAGTGTAAAACACGCACACACAGTATAAACACACGCACACAGTGTAAAACACACAGACACAGTATAAAACACACACACACAGTATAAAACACGCACACACAGTATAACACACACACACAGTGTAAAACACGCACACACAGTATAGAACACACGCACACAGTGTAAAACACACACACACAGTATAAAACACACACACACAGTGTAAAACACGCACACACAGTATAAATCACACACACACAGTGTAAAACACGCACACACAGTATAGAACACACGCACACAGTGTAAAACACACAGACACAGTATAAAACACACACACACAGTGTAAAACACGCACACAGTATAAAACACACACACACAGTGTAAAACACACGCACACAGTATAAAACACACACACACAGTGTAAAACACGCACACACAGTATAAAACACACACACACAGTATAAAACACGCACACACAGTATAAAACACACGCACACAGTGTAAAACACGCACACACAGTATAAAACACTCACACACAGTATAAAACACACTCACACAGTGTAAAACACGCACACAGTATAAAACACACGCACACAGTGTAAAACACACACACACAGTATAAAACACACACACACAGTATAAAACACACGCACACAGTATAAAACACGCACACACAGTATAAAACACGCACACACAGTATAAAACACGCACACACACAGGTAAAACACGCACACACACAGTATAAAACACACACACAGTATAAAACACGCACACACAGTAAAACACGCACACACAGTGTAAAACACACACACAGTGTAAAACACACACACAGTATAAAACACACACACACATATAAACACCACACAGTATAAAACACACGCACACAGTATAAAACACACACACACAGTATAAAACACGCACACACAGTATAAAACACACGCACACAGTGTAAAACACACACACACAGTGTAAAACACGCACACACAGTATAAACACACGCACACAGTGTAAAACACACACACACAGTGTAAAACACACACACACAGTATAAAACACGCACACAGTATAAAACACACGCACACAGTATAAAACACACGCACACAGTGTAAAACACGCACACACAGTATAGAACACACGCACACAGTGTAAAACACACACACAGTATAAAACACACGCACACAGTGTAAAACACGCACACACAGTATAAAACACACACACACAGTGTAAAACACGCACACAGTATAAAACACACACACACAGTGTAAAACACGCACACAGTATAAAACACACACACACAGTGTAAAACACGCACACAGTATAAAACACACACACACAGTGTAAAACACGCACACAGTATAAAACACACACACACGTATAAAACACACGCACACAGTGTAAAACACGCACACACAGTATAAAACACACGCACACAGTATAAAACACACGCACACAGTGTAAAACACGCACACACAGTATAAAACACACACACACAGTAAAACACCACACACACAGTATAAAACACACACACACAGTATAAAACACACACACACAGTGTAAAACACGCACACAGTGTAAAACACACACACACAGTATAAAACACACGCACACAGTGTAAAACACACACACACACAGTATAAAACACGCACACAGTATAAAACACACACACACAGTATAAAACACGCACACACAGTATAGAACACACGCACACAGTGTAAAACACGCACACACAGTATAAAACACACGCACACAGTGTAAAACACACACACACAGTATAAAACACACGCACACAGTGTAAAACACGCACACACAGTAAAAAACACGCACACAGTGTAAAACACGCACACAGTATAAAACACACACACACAGTATAAAACACACACACACAGTATAAAACACACGCACACAGTATAAAACACACACACACAGTATAAAACACACACACACAGTATAAAACACACGCACACAGTATAAAACACACACACACAGTATAAAACACACGCACACAGTATAAAACACACACACACAGTGTAAAACACGCACACAGTATAAAACACACGCACACAGTATAAAACACACGCACACAGTGTAAAACACACAACACAGTAAAACACACACACACAGTATAAAACACACGCACACAGTGTAAAACACACACACACAGTGTAAAACACGCACACAGTATAAAACACACACACACAGTGTAAAACACGCACACAGTATAAAACACACACACAGTGTAAAACACCACACACAGTGATAAAACACACCAACACAGTAAAACACACACACAGTATAAAACACACACACACAGTGTAAAACACGCACACAGTATAAAACACACGCACACAGTGTAAAACACACACACACAGTGTAAAACACACACACAGTATAAAACACACACACACAGTGTAAAACACGCACACACAGTAAAACACACACACACAGTGTAAAACACACGCACACAGTGTAAAACACGCACACACAGTATAAAACACACGCACACAGTGTAAAACACACACACACAGTGTAAAACACGCACACAGTATAAAACACACACACACAGTGTAAAACACGCACACACAGTATAAAACACACGCACACAGTATAAAACACACACACAGTATAAAACACACGCACACAGTATAAAACACGCACACAGTATAAAACACACACAGTATAAAACACACACACACAGTGTAAAACACGCACACACAGTATAAAACACACCACACAGTAATAAAACACACGCACACACAGTGTAAAACACGCACACAGTATAAAACACACACACACAGTATAAAACACACACACACAGTATAAAACACACGCACACAGTGTAAAACACACACACACAGTATAAAACACCACACACAGTATAAAACACACGCACACAGTGTAAAACACGCACACACAATAAAACACACGCACACAGGTAAAACACGCACACACAGTATAAAACACACACACACAGTGTAAAACACGCACACAGTGTAAAACACACACACACACAGTATAAAACACACGCACACAGTATAAAACACACGTACACAGTGTAAAACACACACACACAGTGTAAAACACGCACACAGTATAAAACACGCACACACAGTATAAAACACACGCACACAGTGTAAAACACGCACACAGTATAAAACACACACACACAGTGTAAAACACGCACACAGTATAAAACACACACACACAGTGTAAAACACGCACACACAGTATAAAACACACGCACACAGTATAAAACACACGCACACAGTGTAAAACACACGCACACAGTATAAAACACACGCACACAGTATAAAACACACACACACAGTGTAAAACACGCACACAGTATAAAACACACACACACAGTGTAAAACACGCACACAGTATAAAACACACACACACAGTGTAAAACACACACACACAGTATAAAACACGCACACACAGTATAAAACACACGCACACAGTATAAAACACGCACACACAGTGTAAAACACACACACACAGTATAAAACACACGCACACAGTATAAAACACACACACACAGTGTAAAACACGCACACAGTATAAAACACACACACAGTATAAAACACGCACACAGTATAACACACACACAGTATAAAACACACACACACAGTGTAAAACACACACACAGTATAAAACACACGCACACAGTATAAAACACGCACACACAGTATAAAACACACGCACACAGTATAAAACACACACACACAGTATAAAACACACACACACAGTATAAAACACACACACACAGTGTAAAACACACACACACAGTGTAAAACACACACACACAGTGTAAAACACGCACACACTATAAAACACACACACACAGTGTAAAACACACGCACACAGTATAAAACACACACACACAGTGTAAAACACACACACAGTATAAAACACACGCACACAGTGTAAAACACACACACACAGTATAAAACACACGCACACAGTATAAAACACACACACACAGTGTAAAACACACGCACACAGTATAAAACACACACACAGTATAAAACACACGCACACAGTGTAAAACACGCACACAGTATAAACACACGCACACAGTGTAAAACACACAGACACAGTATAAAACACACACACACAGTGTAAAACACGCACACACAGTATAAATCACACACACACAGTGTAAAACACGCACACACAGTATAGAACACACGCACACAGTGTAAAACACACAGACACAGTATAAAACACACACACACAGTGTAAAACACGCACACACAGTATAAATCACACACACACAGTGTAAAACACGCACACACAGTATAACACACGCACACAGTGTAAAACACACACACAGTATAAAACACACACACACAGTGTAAAACACGCACACACAGTATAAATCACACACACACAGTGTAAAACACGCACACACAGTATAGAACACACGCACACAGTGTAAAACACACACACAGTATAAAACACACGCACACAGTGTAAAACACCACACACAGTATATAAACACACACACACAGTGTAAAACACACGCACACAGTGTAAAACACACACACACAGTGTAAAACACGCACACAGTATAAAACACACACACAGTATAAAACACGCACACACAGTGTAAAACACACACACACAGTATAAAACACGCACACACAGTATAGAACACACGCACACAGTGTAAAACACACGCACACAGTATAAAACACACGCACACAGTATAAAACACACGCACACAGTATAAAACACACACACACAGTATAAAACACACGCACACAGTATAAAACACACACACACAGTATAAAACACGCACACACAGTATAAAACACGCACACACAGTGTAAAACACGCACACACAGTATAAACACGCACACACAGTATCTCTCTCTTTCACACAGTATAAAACACACGCACACAGTATAAAACACACGCACACAGTGTAAAACACGCACACACACACAGTATAAAACACACACACACAGTATAAAACACACGCACACAGTGTAAAACACACACACACACACAGTATAAAACACACACACACACAGTATAAAACACACACACACACACAGTATAAAACACACACACACAGTATAAAACACACACACACAGTATAAAACACACGCACACAGTGTAAAACACGCACACACAGTATAAAACACACGCACAGTATAAAACACACGCACACAGTGTAAAACACACGCACACAGTGTAAAACACACGCACACAGTGTAAAACACGCACACACAGTATAAAACACACGCACAGTATAAAACACACGCACACAGTATAAAACACACACACACAGTGTAAAACACACGCACACAGTGTAAAACACACACACAGTATAAAACACACGCAGACACAGTGTAAAACACACACACACACACAAACTCAGTGTATAACACACACACACACACACACACACACAAACAAACACACACAGGGTAAAACACGCACACAGTGTAAAACACACACACACGCACACAAACACACACACAGAGTGTAAAACACACGCACACAAACACACACAGTGTAAAACACACACACACACACAGTATAAAACACACGCACACAGTATAAAACACACGCACACACACAGTGTAAAACACACACACACAGTGTAAAACACTGAGGAACTACGACTGCAGGTGTGTTGTGTGAACAGAAAGCATCATGTAAAGACTGAAAGTATCTCGTCCCACTTAGACGCTCTCAGTGCTGCAGGACAGACTGATCCGAAGGGGAAACAGCAGCATCCTGTTTGTACTGACAGCATGCTTTCACATAAGGCCTGATATGTATCACAGTACTTTAACCTTGGTGTGAACAGTTACGGGTCATAAAGATTTAAATACATTAGACATCCACAGATGGGCCCAGTCTTTGACACTAACAGATGACTATGGCAGGAATCCTGATGATGAAGATTGTGCTGTTACCTGGACTCTACAGGAAACGGCTCGTACAGAAACTTCTTGTAGAAATCCTTCTTTATGTCGTGGACAAGGATGACTGCTTTGCCCTGGTCATCAAACTGAGGACGGCCTGCTCGCCCCATCATCTGCAGCACGTCTACACACACACACACACACACACACTGTTACACACAACCTTTAGAGCAGAACGTTTACGATCTGTTAATGCAGTTTGTTCTGAGCGTCAGTGACAGCTATATGAGAGAGCTTCTTAATGCGGAGTTTAACATCACACAGACTGGAGGAAGCACACTTCCTGTTCCACAGAGACCACACCCAGGCTGTCACTGAGCTGTACCTGTGATGGGGTAGTCCACATAGCGCCTGGATTTGCCATCGTAGTACTCGGTTCCCTTGACGACAACCAGGTGAGCGGGGAAGTTCACTCCCCAGGCCAGAGTGCTGGTAGCAATCAGAACCTGGTGACGTTTTAGAAATGAGTTACAACCAAACAGGACGTGAGATATAGACACAGCAGCTGAGGCGTGACAGTGTCTAACTGTGCACAGGATTAATGTAGCAGCATTCATCCTCTGTAGCACTAACAGACCTGTGTGTGGAGCAGACAGAACAACAGGAAGTGAGGACAGGCAGACGGAGAGAGACAGCTGGGGTTTTGCCCAATTACAGAAATTCCAGGCAAAGGAAAAGCTTTGGAATGTGCTTGAAAGAGCCTGGAAAACTATTCCTGAAGACCACTAAAGGAAATGACAGGAAGGCTTTCCTAAGATAGTTCAGGCTGTGATGAAGAATAAGGAGGTCTTACCGAACACAGACTGTAACGCTGTGAAACATGTCACTATCTCTACTTTCAAGATTAGGCTTCAAACTTTCCTTTTTGCTAAAGCATATAGTTAGGGCTGGACCAGGTGACCCTGAATCCTCCCTTAGT